AAAGATTTTCTATTGAAATCAGGTCTGGAGACTGGCTAGGCCACTCCAGGACCTTAAGATGTTTCCTACGGAGCCGCTCTTTAGTTGCCCTGGCTGTGTTTTGGGTCGTTATCATGCTGGAAGACCCAGCCACGACCCATCTTCAGTGCTCTTACTGCTTTTAAGGCTGTCATGGCAAATAATAATAATAATAATAATAAAGTCTCTTTCCACAGAGCAGTGATGTGTTTTTGAAGAAGAACAAATTACAGTTTTTGTTCTTCATCAAACACTTGGTGGCTGCAGATGAGCTGCAGCTGGAAATAAACTGAACATGTCAGAGGACGTCAGCAGAGACAGAAACAAACAAAAACTTTTACATGTGGAGAAAATTATTCAGTTTCTTAGAATGAAATGAATCATTGTAAACGTCTGGATTTTGAGACTTAAGATTTGATATCAAACCTCCCCCACTCTTTAATTCCTTCCTGCATTCTTGTCTTTTATTTTTACAATCAAACATTTTTATTCTAAAAGTACATCATAGGTCTTCCTGGCTCTCTGAATGTTAGATGTTGAGTAAAAAGGGACACAAATATCCAAGAGAAATTCAACTTGGCCTGCCTCGTTCCTGGGATTATTCTGTGAACTGAGTAGAAATTTGGTCTGAGAAAACAGATGATAAAAAATAAAAATAAAAAGTATTACTTGCCAAAACAACCTAAAACGCATTAGAATCTTACAATTCTACCAACCGTTTATTTCTAGACTTTGAGAAATTTACATAAAGTTTTAAATTTGACGGCTCGGTAAAGAAGCAGATTATTAAAAATAATGGTAAAAAATCTGTAAAAAAAGACTTTAAGACTCATGTCGAAACATGTATTTTATTCTTTTATCTTAAAAAATTAAAATAAAGTGCTTTTTATGTACAATATAATAAAAACAACAGTCACAATCTCAATGATACAAAAAATACAATTCACAATGTTATTTGTACACAACAATAATAAAAAAACAAAAAGAAATCATGCAGGCAAGACCACATTTGTCTAATAGTTAATCAGTCATTAAGCTGATGATGATGATGATGGAGGAAGGTGGAGCTGTGCTGCAGAACTACATCATGCAGCACAAACCATTCATTGCTTCTACTGTTTGTTTGTAGTTATGAACATTTTGGATGAATCCTGAATGTGTGTGTGTGTATATGTATATATATATATATATATATATATATATATATATATATATATATGGCTACAATCATGTCCAGAACACTGTTTTAGAACTGAGGAGAAGCTCAAAGTCACCAGTTTTGATGCAGCAGTTTGCTTCTCGTTGGAAAAGCACGTCGGTAATAAATACACACATTTAGGACAGTTTGACTTATATTAACCTGTGAGGTCAAATGATTTTGTTTTTGCACCAGATTTCGGTGCAATAAAACCTGGTAGTTTTAACTCCATTCATATATTTATATGTATATATATGTATATATATATCTTTTTTTAACTTAAGAGTTTGAGCGACTCTCAGTTCTGTTTGTAGGCAGAGAAGTTATTACTCAAATAAAACATACTGTAAATATATTATTGACCCGTGTTGTGGAGTTAGGCGTGCCCAGTGAGGGGCTACAATCATGTCACTGATGAGGGTGTTGGTACGGGGCTGCTCACGGCTTAAGGCAGAGCAACCATCGACTGCAGAGGCTTTTATTTTGTAGAGGTGTTTATCCATCAAGCACATCAACATAGGTTATTTTTTTAAGACACAGTTTAAACTTGTCAACTATGATACTCCCGTTTATTTTTTTTTCAGTCTACATTAGTCAAGTCACAAAAAATATTATTTGGTTTCTTGTGGGGGAAGACTGAGAGTGATACTCATTTTTGTGCCTTAAAGTTAAAAGCCTGTTAGCTTAGCTTAGCCTAGCATACATAGAAAATGAATTGAAGCAGCTATTTTGCTCTCATTAATAATTAATAAATCATTATTTATTTCATTTATGAATAATAAAACACTAAAATGCCAAATATTACAGTTTTAAGACTATTTTCTGGATGTTTTCAGGACTAAGAGCTTAAATATACAGGAAGCTGCAGTAGGCGGGAAGAATTTTAAATGACCAGAAGGGATACAGCTTCTACTTAAAAATAAATTACACAATGTGTCACAAATTGACATAAAATTATAAAAAAGAGGGACTAGTTTCTGCCTTGCTTAGTTTAAGCCCATAGTTATTGATCGTACACCAATAAGCAGCTATTAGCATTAGCTGCTACGCTGTGGTGTGAATTTGTCATTTAAAAAGCATGAAAACATAAAATTATCACCAGAATTCACATACCTGACATGTTTTCAGCTAGTCAGTCAAAAAAAAATATAGGAAACTACTTCTCTACTTAAAGCTTCATCTGTATTGGATTTAGCTAGTACACAGCTTTATACAACTTGCTAAAGTTACCATTTTCCTAAAAATTTTGGCAGCTTTTTTAATTTTTACAATTGTCCATAAATTCAGACAAAACTTTGCTTAAATAAAATAAAAAACATGAACGTTTTAACTTTTTAGAGGCACCAGACTCAGAGGGAAACCACCTTTTTGCACATCACCTAGATTATGTTAGCATTTAGCACAAACATGAGTATCTACAATCTTTTCCTCACTCTCTTTAATTAATAAGGTAATTTCAGACTTTTTTCAACCGATCCTGAATAACTTGAATGTAAAACACAAACACTTCTCCTGTCTTGATGTGCTTGATAAAAAAAAAAACTCAGAAGGTGCTGAACTGAGTGAAATGTACGCTGATGTCGGCAGTAAAGCTCTATGAAAAAAAAAAATACTCAGCAGTGTCCACTCTCTAGTTTTAAGACTACCTCTACAACACATCTTGCACAACGTCCCTTAACGACACACAATATTAAGCACAGGTACTTTATTTACACAATCAAAAATGTGAAAAAAAAAAAAAGAAAATAAAGAAAACACTGACCTCTGTTGCACAATACGCCGTGCCGTTCATTTGTCAACTCAGCAATTAGATATCAAAATACTCATGTAGGATACTGGAATATATACTGAAGGCTTTACTTGATCAGTACAGTGAAGTGGTGACACGATCTAAGACCTGTTTAGCCTCGAGTAAATCCTTCTCAAACTGACTTGTCATCGGTTTTCTGCATCTTTGGAAATGTTTGTTTGTAAGGAGAGCTGGGGATGGCTGCACTGGTCCCTGGAACATGTTTTTTTTTTAAAAGGCGTTTCTTAGCAGCTCCTTCTGGTCTCAGTAGTTGCGTTTGCTGAAATATTATCCAATTTTACTGAAATGAAATGTGCAATCCTTTAACCCTGATTATGTGTGCTTTCTGTTCCAACAGGTGTGGTGAAAGCCATCAGATGTGTCACCTGGTGGACTGGAGGTGGATAAAGGCTACATCTCCCTCGTTGCATTGTGTTACAGCTCAGCTGAAGGTGGTCTCTAAACCTGATCTGCTCCCTCTAACATTAGCTATAAATAAACAGAACAAAAAAGGAAGGAAATTAGTCTTTGGAAGATCATTTCTTTGTTGTAACAATGCTGGATAAGTCGTTGGAAAGCCTGTTCATATCCCTTTTAAATGATGCCACATTTGTAAGGAACGTGCATTTGTGGGATGAACGGTAGAGCTGAGTATGTGGGTTGCACACATGAAAGGATTGCCAAATATTTTTTTGCTATTGCCAAACAGCTTCTGAAATCCTTCTTTTCTTCTGTGTGTTTTTTGGCACGTCTCGTTCCACAGTTTTTTAATTACTTCAACAGTTTAAATATCGAAACATTCAGCTCTTTGAGAGCGTTACAGTATTATACTTAGAGACGTTTAGCTTTTTCTGCCATTTTTTTCTCATTTAAAATGTCACAAACACCCTTAAAACTTTTTAAAATGTTCATTCAATTTTTTAAAACTGCTTTGTGCTAATTTTAGCTTCCTTCAGCTTCTACTTTTTACTTTTTTCTGCTTTTTTAGTCATTATTCTGATCGTTTGATATTCTTCTGCAAATGTAAACTTTGTGCTTCTTTCTGCTTATTTAGGCTTTGTGTGCTTCTTTTAGCAGCTGTTAGTTTCAGCTGTTTTTAGTGTGTTTTTAGCAACTTTTTAGCTAATTTGTGCCAAATTAAGCTTTTTGTGAGAACTTTAGCTTCTTACAGCTTAATTCAGCAAACATGCTTTGTTTCTTTAAGCTGATTTCAGCCACTTTTTAAAGTTTTTTAGGCTAGTTTCAGCATTTTTTTTAAAAACTGCAAATTCTTCTTTTGTTTCTTTTTTGTTGCTCCTTTGAAAAATTTCTCTCTCGTTTCCCCATCAATTTTAACTTTCATCTACTTTTAGCTTCTTTTTCTAATTTTAGCTACTGTTTTGCTCTTTTCAGGGTTTTTTTTACCTTTTTTAATCTTTCTACTCATTTTTTACTTTTGTTGTCCTACTTTCTGCAAAGGTCATCTGTTCAAATTTAACTCGCATAAACAGTTTTGATGTTAAACCTTTTCAGCTTCTTTCTACTCTGAACTTCCACACTTGTTTAAAGCTTCTGGTACCTCCAGGTGTTGCCAGTTTGTTTAAGATTTATTGCCAAGTAGCATTGTTACAACAAAGAAACAACCTACCAAACACGCACTTATTGACTTTTTGTGCCAAGTATTGTTTTGTGACTTTATATCGTTTGTCCTGTCCATCCCACTTTAACTCTGGTGTCTGCAAAGTACTTGGATAAGTTTCAGAATGAAGGCAGACAAGCACATGGTGAACCTCCATGTTGTTTTTTTGGCCCGACTCAAACTCAACATGAAGAGAAACCGCTTTTACAAACACTGCTATGAGCTAACAGTCTTAAGAGAAACTCCCAACTTTGACCTTCACATTTATTTATTATTAGTGCCACAATACATTTAGTGGAAAACCCGACCCTGGATCCATCACCGTGTGCTCTTAAAGGATGATTGATGCAAACCGTGACGTGGCCGTGACAGGATGGCACTATTGCATTTAGATTTAGTCATTATTATTTTTATTTGTTGTTATTTTTTGGCACAGTACATGTGGTGATTTCAGTGCTGCCCTGAATATGTCAAAAAGGTGACGCTGTTTCCATATTTTCCACCTTTCTGTATTCTTTCCTCCGAAGCTCATCTGGGTTTTGTGTCTGAACCCACAGTGGCAGCTTCCTTTCAATCCCGTCAAACGACCAGATGAGCAGAATGTTTTCCTTTTAAAGTGGAGCAGTTTTTGCGGGTGACCACATTTCCACAACAAGCATACATTCAGGAGGTAAATGACAGTGTTTAGGCCTCAGAGGACAAGAATAAGCTGCTTTTTTTTGTGTCCCGTCTTGATGTCCTCCAACAGCAGCGCAGTCTCCCAACCTTTGCCTCAGGTTTCGGCTCACACATTTACTCCGCACAAAAAGGGGAAACAAAATGTGCTGAATGACAAGGAAAATGAATTTCACTTTAACCTGAACTCCTCGTCACCACGTCGCTGGAGCCTGCGTGTGCAGAAAAGCAGAAGTGTGGAGGCGCCACCTTCTGCAGAAGCTGTGCAAGATTACTCAAAGAAGAGCTGGGCGAGCATCGACGCTTTTTGACTCGACAGACGTTTCACGATGCGTACCCAACAGAGACGCCGCTCCACACAGAAACATGTGTTCTGTGTAAGGTGGTATTAACTGTGTCCCTTATATTACCCAGCCCTTTGCTCTCTCTCTCACACAGACACACACACAGGTTGTTAGAGGCCACGAGAAGAGTTCAGAAACAGACCGATGGAATCATATTAGCAGCTGCCATGGTTTTTGTGGTTGATGCTGACGTGTTGTGCCGCAGCGACAAACCAGCCCAACCTCTGGCTTCGGAGTGGAAACATGAAACAAACACGCCCTCCTCACTGATCAGAGCTGAGATGGCTGAAAGAAAAAGATGCGCCGTGACGTGGGAGGATGTCAGGGTTTCCTCTCCGGTGCTGGGTGGTCCGTACCGTGAGTGTCTCACACGATGGAGTCTTTGATCTCGGAGCCTAACCGGACTCTGGGCCGAGGGCAGGTCGGGGAGTACTCCACGTGGCTCTCCTTCGCGTTGAGCGGCCGCCTGTCCGAGGACTCGGAGAAGCTCTTGCTGTTGTCCGGGGAGGACTCGTGCGTGGGCGTGCTGCAGACGTAGACGTCGTCCAGCGTCTGGTAGCCCTTGTGGTCCGAAAGTGAGACGGGGACGGTGTTGCCGTTGAGGGGCAGGCTCTCCGCGGGCTTCCCGACCATCCTGGGCTTCTTCTGCTGCATGCTGGGGCACTCGCCCTGCTTCAGCATGGACTTCATGTGGTCCCGGTTCCTGTAGACGACGAACAAGGAGAAGACGACGAGGGAGAACGCCAACAGGGCGCACACCACAATCAGCTCGTTCCAGTAGGTCTTGGTGTGGACCTGCTGGGAGCGAGACTCGCCCGGCAGGATGATGGTCTCCTCCCGGGGGAAGTGGGGCGTGCGCGAGTGTCCGACGGGGGTGGTGCTTTCCAGGCGGGGCTCCGCTCTCACGCAGTAGTTGGCCAGCAGCTGGCGGAAGCCCTCCTCCTCGGACCAGCACTCGTACGTCTCCGTGTGCTCGGACTGGGCCACCACCACCAGGTTCCCCTCCGGGGTGGCGTACAGGAACTGTCTGGAGCGGTCGCTGTAGCGCCACTTCCTCTGAGCCAGGTTGGAGCGCAGCTTACAGGGCAGGACTCGAAATGTGTTGGCTGGGATTGTAATGGGCTTGCAACGGGAACCACCTGCAGAAAACAAACAATATTTTAAATGAAGTCTTATTCTGCTAAGAAATACATGAATAAATCATGTTTATTATTTTGCTCTTTTTTGGTTTCCTTCTCTACATTTTAGGTCTGAAAGCCACAAATTCCCAGAATCTACCTTAAAAGGAGTTCTCCTGCCTCTAAGATTCATCCTGTTTCTAATTCAGGCTGCATTTTTTTTTATCTTCACTGCTCCTCATCATCATGAAAACACATTTGTGCTACAAGTGCAAGGAGGAAAAGAAAAAAAAAGCACATCCGGTGATTTTGTGTCGAAATCAACAATTTTCTGCAAAAAGCTGACTGAAGAGTTTTTGATTAGACCAGGATTCCAAGTCCAATTAGTCCAAGACGGTGAACGCAGAGTCCTGAATAAAACATCACGGTCAAATAAGGAGCTCTGGTTTCCATTTTGTCAACATCTTTACTCGTCAAGCTGCAGCATGCCTCTGAAGGACATTAAATTAACAGTTAGTGGAGTTCTGTGGAAAGGTTATGAGCAGTTAATATCTTACCTGTCGTAGATAGCTCTTTGAACAACCTCAGTTTGGTAAAACAAACTGTTAAGTTCTGACTGGACTGAGGAGCCTTTGCATGAAGTTCTGATATTTTTGAGGGTGGACTCTTACGAGGGCAGAAACCCACTTTGGTCTTAAACCTGCTCAAACTAGCCGTTAGCTCGTCGGTCCGGTCAGAGTTAAACTGTTCCTCCAAACTGAGGTCGATCAAAGAGCCATGTATGACTCAGGAGGTATGAAAGTATTGTGGTATACCTCAGTATTGAAACATGGTGTCGTTTTTTTTAAAATATCATGCTGGTATTGTATTATTGTTATTATTATTATTATTATTAGAATTTATTTTAGAGGAAAAAAGGGGCAGATGTTATAAGGTTTTTCTTCTCTCTGCTTCCTTTCATTTCTCTTATAAATTGTGTTTGGTTTTTTTATTATGTATAGATTTTCTTGTTTTAATGAATGAATACGATATTATTTATTATTAATAAATATTTTTGTGTGTGGGTACATGAAATAAGTGCGTATCAAATTTTCATACAGACTATAAATATTCAATAATATATTTGTTTTGTTCATTAGTTGTGTACAGAATAGGTAGCCGAGCTTGTTACTGGACTGTTTTAGACTCTAAACGTGTGTCGTTCGTGGGAGAGGCAGAGGAAACTCACGGGCAGCTGTTGGTCTGGCAGATCTGGGGCTGGAAATTGTCGCATTGCAAATGGCTGACGTGTCCGCCTCCTCCACGTCCTGCTGCCAGTGGCTGCAACAGAACCACAGGGTGAGAGGAATGACAGGCACCTTGTAGAAAAAGTATATTTTACTCCTTTTAAAAGGATCCATGATTAGTTGTAACATTAGACTTTATTTGATAAACATTTATTTTAACTATAAAATAAAGAGTCAAAATACTGTAGGCTGTTTAGTTTTGTAAGATGGAGCCATTTTATTTACCCGCAAAGCTTTCTGGGTAAATGATGATAGGTCCTCTGTGTGAGCGAGCTATATCCACCCTGTAGGTTAATCTTGGACAATATCTGATGATCGACTCTTTTAAATGAAACCAGAGAGCGTTGACAGAGAGGAGAAGGTAGAAATGACTCAGTCTGTAACTGAAAATATGGATGGAGGACAACAGAGCTGCTTCATGGAAGAAGAACCTCAGCTTAGCCTGTTAGCTTTAGCGCTGACGCTATATTACCTTATATGTATTAGCTCAGTGCTAGCATGACAAACAAGCTAAACTGAGGTCCTCCATCCATATTTTCAGTTGCAGCTGAGTCATTTTTTTGTTCCCCTCTCTGTCATGTGGATGGAGGACCTCAGTGATGAGAGGAGAATGTGTAGCACTGAGCTAATACATATATATGGTGATAGCGTCGGGGCTAACACTGAAGCTAACAGACTAAGCTGAGGTTCTTCTTCCATGAAGCAGCTCTGTTGTCCTCCATCCATATTTTCAGTTCCAGGCTGAGTCTTTTCTACCTTCTCCTCTCTGTCAACGCTCTCTGGTTTCATTTAAAAGASTCGATCATCAGATATTGTCCAAGATTAACCTTCAGGGTGGATATAGCTCGCTAGCAGCCTCACACCGATGACCTATCCACGTCATCATTTACCCAGAATGCTCTGCGTGTAAATAAAATGGCTCCGTCCGTGTAATATACTTTTAAACTTTGTTTTAAAATGATAAAAACTAAACATCCTACAGTATTTTTACAGTCTTTATTTTACAGTTAAAATATATGTTTATCAAATAAAGCCTAATGTTACAACTGATCATGAATCCCTTTAAAACCAGTTTACATCATGAAGAGACTGATTCTCCTTTTAAAAGAAGCTTTTCTCAAACACGACAGGGAACTTCATAGATTTGTAGGATTTCTTTCAAAAATAACATCTTATTTCTTCTGATTGAAATATGAACACTGCTGGATGAGTTGACAGAATCCTTCTGTCTTTAAGAAGCCACTGACAGGAGGTATGTTTACATACATGTATATGTTTTCTAAATAGCTCCTTCCACATTTTTCCAAGCGGTCGCCATGTTGTGATTTAAAATATCTCCCTCCAGTCCTCTCACTGAACCTTGTTAAATATGATTTTATGGTTAAAACCTGCATAACCTTACACCTGCCTGGCCGTGCGCACCACGTCACACCGCTACGAGCTCCGGCAGCCCGCGTGGGACCGCTCACCTGTCGGGCGGAGCCATCCTGACGTCCCGGCACACCGACCCGTTCCAGGCGCAGTAGGGGTCTCTGGACAACACGCACTCGCCGCAGCTCAGGTAGTTGGAACAGTTGGCCACGGGAACCTCCACCAGGCCCGAGTACGACGAGACGAACAACAAACCCTGCAGGGAGAAAAAAAAAAAAGAGAAGAACATGAATAAATGAGTTGCAGGGTCGAGGGCCGGGTTTGGGTTTCTGACTTCAAAAAGGGACGGCACACTGAAACAATTACTCATAACGTACACACAGAGCTAACGCCGACCAGCTGGGCCGTCTTCCTGCCAAAAATGAGTCATTTGGACTGTGATCGTGTGTTGGGTTGAACACACTCACAAGCTCAGCGCATGCTTTAAAGAACTTTCTTCTTCTTTTATTCGCCTTGACGCGTTTCGTTTTAACAAACGTGTTACATAAAATCACCTCTCGTCACAGCGTAGAGACTGTGAACTGTTTGGAGCTTCGACTTTCCTCACATAAAATCATTTCTTGCTTTATTAGAATTACTTATTTGCAGATAAGTTTGGCAGTTTAGACTCTGGAAAAGGTCTTTTTATGTAATAACAACAAGAAAAATAAAGAAAATGAAATTAAGCTGTGGGTAAAGTGCCAGAGAGTATAATAAACCTCGTCTTCCACACAGAGCTATAACTTACAGCTAACTGAATGAAATGGGCCCTGCAGAGGGAAAATCTCTGCAGCCAGTTTGAAATGATTAAAACACTCAACATGAACTGATTTAAAGAGGACTTCAGAGGCTCTTGCAGACGTATATGAAGTTACAGCGTTTTAATTTAGCTCTGCGGTGTTATCTACCCGCTGAGAGTCCAGTTCGATGTGCTGCACGGGCTGAGGCTCTGCGAACAGAACCAGCTCCTCGATGATGTGCATCTTGTCGTTGGCGTTAATGGCTTTGTGGAGCTTCCCGTCATCTGAAACCAACAGAGAGAAGGGTTAGAAGCGACTGCAGAGCAAGACGCGAGTCGTCGGGGAGGAAGACCCTCACCCGTTCCGATGAAGAGCACGTCGTAAGCCCGCTCCATGCCCTGGATCTTGTGCACGGCGATCTGCGTGTAGCGCACGCTGCGCTTCAGCAGCAAGGGGGCGCTGCGGATCACGCCGTCCATCAGGAAGTGGTCCTTCACAAAGTTCAGCACTTTATCCGGCATGTGCAGGGACGAGTGGATGCTCATTTGTCTGGCGTGGTTGGTCACGCACTGCAGGGAGGAGAGATGAGAGCTTCACTCTCTGCTGTCAGGCTTTTTGTTTAAACTTTGTTTTCCTGCCCTCAGGTTGTAACTGATCTTTATGGTCTTCATCATCCCATATTTACAGCAGGTAAAATAAGTATTGAACACGTCAACATTTTTCTCAGTAAATATATTACTAGAGGTGCTAATGACATGAAATTTTCACCAGATGTTGGTAACAACCCAAGTGATCCATACATACATTCCACATTATTACAAATAACATCATTTCTGGACATTTATGGTTTGATTTCTTTGTATGTATGG